AAAATTGGTCCTCTCTGAGGTAGACAGGGAGCCACTTTTTTCAGGTACTGACCATAGTAAATTAGTCAGTAATGTGTTTGCTTACAGGCTACAATCCTTGTCTACGGTAAGCCGAATGCTCTGACTTACTATTTAGCAGAATCATTGAGCTGATATTCGCTACGCATATCGTAAGCTTTTCTTACACCTTTGTCGTTCCATAATGAAACAAGTGCTTTGGCCACTTCATCCGTGAATGGCTCTGACTCATCCCCAACTTCCACAACGCGAAAAATTAACGCTTTCTCGGTCTGCAATTACGTTAAATTTATCAGTTTTCACGAAGTTTTAAGTGTTGCTGCATGCAGGAAAACCTGATTGAAATGAAAGATGCATGCAAAAAGTGTGATTGAAAAATTTTGCTTTTATTCAGATTCTAATATTTTGGAAGAGTATTGTGCACCTCCTTTTCAGGATCCTCAAGCGGAATGTGGAGAACGTTATCCATAGCTTTCATTATGGCACACATCGATGTAACCGTATTATTATAAACCACTGCCTTGCGCTCGTTAATTTCATCTTCCGTAAAACCATTACTGTGAAGAATTCTGAAATTTTTTTGTGGCTTGTTCTTTTATAACCCTTTGAATCGATAGATAATTACTTCTGAAACTTTTGACATTTTGTGGTTGAAAGGTGATGTTCAAAAACAACGGGCATGCGGGATTTTTGACATTTTCGAATAGTTATTAGCGGGATTCCCCTTTCACCTTTTAAAGTCAGCTATTTGGTGTAATAATAAAAATGACTTATTCAATAAAGAATTCAGGAAAAAAACATTTGTTAAAAGAAACTTGAAAATCTAATACGGAATCTAGGAGTGATTCGCCCTTTTCTTCTCTAAAAAAAGAAGTGCTTCAAGCGAGTTTATAAAACGTACTGCATTTGTTTCAGTACTGTCGATTTCCCGCATTCTCCTGCTCCTGAAACATTTATCAGGAGTAAAACTTGAGAGTAGTAAGAAGTGCTACACGAAAAACCATTTGTAAACGAAGTCCGCGATCGTGTTTGAGGATTTGGACGTGAAATTGATTTTCAAATGCGAGGCAGCGTGCTTTGGTCCTCGGCCTTCGTGGATAGCAGAACCCACAGACGCCGAATTTGGCGCAAAAATCTTGATATAAAGGAGGGAAGTTGATGAAATTTTTACAGTGAGTCGGCGCAGTCGGATGTGCTTGTACTTTTGCCGGTACGTGAGCTTCAAATTTTTATTTTTCATTACTTATTCACCGAAAAATTTGAAAAATGATAGTTATAACAGAGAGCAGTGAAACTTCTCCAAAATTAGAATTTTCGAAATGCAAACCTAGTAGTAGCAATTTAACAATGGAGGAACCAGCACGTTTATCCTGATTGAGCTGTTTCTCGATAGCTTTATTACGAGCAAGCTGTTCTTGAGCTTCCTGACTTTGACAGGAACCCATCGTGCTGCATTTATGACCACTTTCTACTACTGCTGCCAGTAATAAATAATCCTTTATAAGGCAATGTTGAATTATCCAATTTGTACAATTATAGCCACAAAAACACTGCACATAACCTAAAATAAGCGTTCTTTTTTTGTAACCCGATGCAGG